ATATGTACAAACTTATATACATATGAGGAAGGTTTTTTTTAATCGTTAAAACACAAAACTAGGAACACTGGATGTATCCGGAAAGTTTCTAAAACAGCTCGGCTGACCGTCGAGGAACAGGTTGCAAAAAAAAAAAAAAAACAGGGCCCACCCCTCCCGTCTGTGACTGAAGGAGGTGGGTAACCCAGGGATGATGATTGACTGCTTCAACTGTACCCGTGTGATTGCGTACTTACTCCGTTATTCTCCTTTAGGCATATAGGATTTTCGGCTTACCACAATTTGGGAATATGTTGATATGGTCAGATTTTGGTCTCCTTAACAGTACCGATGGGATCTGTCCTTATATTGGGTAGCACTGCCCTTTAAAGATAGAGTACAAATTGACACACAAAAATGTCCAATAACCTAACCTTTGGTCTTAGGCGGCGTGGTTGGCCAAAAAAGGAATTGAAAGAAACACGAAAAATTTTGGCGTTAAATTCCTGCTCATGCTAAGGAATCTCCTTAAAATCTCACCTTTATTATTAATCAAAACGAATTTATTCGGCACACAAACACTACTTTATCCACAATGATGGGTAACTTCAAATTATAATTGGAGAGGAGAATACCGGCTCTGACTGGTGTTAAATTGAAATTAAACTTTTCTTTTCCTCTAATGGCTTTTAGTTGTGCTGCTTCAAAAAAAACTTTTCTGCAATAATGCAATTTTTAAACTAAACTGCAGTGCGCCATCGAATTGATAGGTTGCCATAGATCGACTAAAGTTGACACCTGATGTCAGGGCTACCAACGACTGCGCACAATGAGGACGTTTTTTACGCCGTCGCTTGCGTTGTCGGGTTGTGGTATTTTAACACAACAGGCCAATGGAAACTGATGAGCCACATTGGTCTGAGAGAGTTTTTTTATGTTTCTCATGGTGATGTCGTCTGCTATTTCTTTGAATATATTTTGTATTAACTTACATACATGTGAAAGAAGTTTATCACCACTAATACAGTACAGTATCAGGGTTAAGTCTAATGTCCTTGTTTTCCAAGTTGGGCCTGGTTATTCTTTTGACTTCAGTTATGGAGGTGTTTGTCATAAATTGGTACGTATTCGGCTTTATAGTTAGATTTTCGTATAAAAATTCTTCGGTGAATTCTTCGTCGTTTGGGATTTGGCCTAGAGTTTATATATCACAGAGTTCGCGTGGAATGAATACGATGTACCTCTTACGGAGTTCTTCAGCACAAACTATTTTGTTTATTGTCTTGCAGTCATTAAGTATTATTTTAATTTATCGTTTTGTATAGAAATGAGTATCCAGATTATGAAACTTCCAATGAAGTTCGTTGGCAATTTTCATGGATTGAATCCATCTCCCATTAGGATATCCCTGCAAAATTGCTACTCCTTCACGTATGTTAAACACAATTAGACAATTAGACCGGATGCGTGTGCAGTACTTGGTCAGTGGTTTGAGTTGGACGTACCTAAAGGTAAATTGAACTCTTCGTTTGGCGGGCTACATAGGCTGCATGTAAAAGTTTTATGCTGACTCCGCAAATTTAGTTGGCCCCCAACAATGCACCTTCGGCAAATTTTTGAATTTTCAAGACTCTGGAAACTTTTCTTTTCTCCAAAAATCGGCTTTTCATTTTCTTCAATATTTCTTTTTAAGTTTATTGCAAGATTCTCGTTTAAAAGTTTCCCACTTGTGGTCATTAGTTGCTCCCGTGAACAAGTTCGCACTGCCAGACATCATTGGTCGAGCAAACAAGAAATTTTCCATTACTGTACACCCGACTGCATTTGTAACTCTTTCATATTCCTTTTGTCCATTTTGTGACGTTATAACCGTCGCCAAGACCACAATTATTTTATTAATAAAAAATCTTTACGTATAAATAATATATTTGCTTCTTTAAGCTGTAAATTATTTTAATTCTATTCGCAAAGTCAAATGTACTATTTAGATAGAAGTACATTGTTAACTGAGTCGTGATTCTAAGAATTTAATCCTATTTACACTTGATCTGTTTTCATTACCGAACGTTAAGTATAATTTTGACGTTGCAGACCGCATGTTGTGTTGGCTTGAATTGTAAAAAAATTGCAACTCGAGTGTCTTGTGTATATTCGTATGTATGAAGTTGAGTTGCTTCGACGGGTACCTATATCCTTTGCTGTGTTGGCTGCAGCGTCATTTCTTTTCAAGAATTTTTGTAATACAAACTTTGGTTTGAGAATTTCTTTAAAAAACCCAGAACTCTACCTAAAATTCTAAAAACCACTTCATTCTGAACAAATTTCTGTTTTTTTTTTTCTTCAAATCTTAAATCACTTTTTTCATGCGAACTTTTGTTCCATCTTAGCATTCTACTTACAGGAGAGCCAATAATAAAGGTTTCAATTTTTTTTTCTTTTTCCGCCTGTTTCCCTCTCTGTCAGCGACTCGAATGGTTTAAGAGCCTATATGGAGCGTGTGGGATCATTTTATGGTTAATGATGCCCATTGGATCCTTTTCAGTCGTAGGAACCTATATGGTCCTTTTTGTTGACTACTAACATTGGGCGCCAATTAAAAATTTTTTTTCTTCTTTAAGTTGTAGATCTGAACAGATTTTAATTTCTTCAAAACTTGACTTACCTTGGGGTTTAAAGTTTATAATTACTATGTTCCAGAAATGCAAGATTATAAATATTTTTATTACGATAACCGATTTGTCCTTTTTGATATCGAAAATAGCAAACCTAGTAGATTCTTGTAGGTTCTGGAACAGATAAAATATGTTATGCATACCTAGCAGCGTGGTAAAATTAAGAAGGTACAGCCACCTACAGTTTTTTTTTGTGATGCCAATACCTCATAATTTTTTAATCTCATTTCTCAGTATTAAATAATTTGTGTATGGGCTTTTCCTTTCCAAGCTCATTCGAAATATGATGACTAACCCATTGTAGAAAAGTATGCATATTTCGTTTCTTCTCTTCCTTTTAATGACATATTAAAGATGCGTTACGGCAAGAAAGATTTAACTACAAATCAAATAACATAATTAAGAATAATTTATTATTATTTTTCTCATCGCATGTTTTTAACATAGCTATAAGTTTACTTTACAAAGAGTAAAATACTATTTAATGTTTTGAATCTATTAGTCTAATAAGCATACACTCATGTGTCAAATTACTTTAATTTTTATACTAATCTAAGAAAAAAACTAAATAAATAAAATAAAAATTTCATAATGCTGTTTTAATTTAAAAAAAATATGTAAGTTATACTTTCCAATGACTGGGGATAATTAACCAATATAAAATATAAAAATATATATAAAAATTTTTTATTGAATAAAATCAAAAGCTAGCATCAAATTTTAGAATAAGTTTAGATTTGTTCGAATTGGTCACCTTTGGCACGAATTATGGCCTTCAAACTGCCAATAAAGCCGAATGTTGCTCTGCGGTACTTTGGCCCATTCCGGGCGAAGGGTGCCAACCTTGCTTTCCAAAATACTCCAGAAACAATAGTCTAACGGGCTGGTATCCGGAGATTTTGGTGACCATTGTGCCCTGGAAATGAAGCGAGGAACCTCATTTTGTAACCATTCTTGGTTGGCTCTTGGGTGTTTGCTTGCAAAAGGCTTTAATACGCCCTCCAGAATATTTTCGCAATAATATTCGCCATTTATTCTGATGCCACGGTCTATTAATGCAAGCGGAAGGCGACCATTGGCTGTTAAGGCGGCCCACACCATCACCATAGCCGCTTGAGTTCTGGTCTCATGGTAGCACCCTTTCACTGTTACTTTACGATTTTCCAGTACTCATTTTCGTCGCTGAACACAAAATGGAAGAATTTCAATCCTTGATTGTTTGTAATGGGTTCCATGGTTAAATTCTACTGCCTAACTTACAATGTTCCTCCAACGGAGCTAGAACCCATTAGGACCCACAAATACCAATTTTTAGACAAATCTGACAAAAATATGACAAAAACCCTTCAAAGTACGAAATATCGGGACGTACTGTTAAATGGGGGCTATACCAAAACGTGGACCGAACCATGCAATGTTTCGCCACCGTTATGACCAACAAATACCAAGTTTTATAAAAATCCGTGAAAAAATGTGGCAAAAATCATCAAAATACCGAATATCGGGAGGTGCCGTTATATGGGGGCCATACCGAAGCGTGGACACATACATGCAATATTTCGCCACACGAACTAGGACCCTTTATGACCTACAAATGCCAATTTTCAGACAAATCCGTGAAAAAATGTGGCAAAAATTATCAAAATACCGAATATTGGGAAGTACTTTTATGTGGGGACTATACCAAAACGTGGACCGATATATCTCATTTTCAATACCAACCATCCTTGACACAATACAAATTGTTCTGCTAAATTTTGACGCTCTACGTCGAATAATGTGGGCTGTATCGTGATTTTAACAGACAGACAAACGGACATCGTTAATTGGACTGAGAATTTTATGCTTATTATGAATATATATACTTTATGGGGTCTACGACGAATACTTGGGGATGTTACAAACGGAATGACAAATTTAAAAATCCTTTCCAAGGTGGAGGGTATAAAAATGGAAGACAGGTGTATTGACGTTTTGAATCTTTGCATGGCAAAATGACGTAAGTAAAGCTTCCCCATTCTTCCACATTTTTTTTTTTTAATTTTTGAATTTAGATTAATTGGAATCTGTTGAAAATATGATTTGATTATTTGAAAAAATGGTGAGAAACTACTTTTAAACGGGTTCGTAGCAATATTCTTCAAAATAATTTTTTTTTTCATCAAAAATTTTTTTCATGCATCAAAAATGTAATTCTTACCTAAACTCAAATGTACCTGACAGACTTCCTGATATAGAGATTCTCATAGCGCTGGACCTCTCTGTTTCACTCTAGATCGGGTAAGAAGAACCTTCGCCTCCTATTCTCTTGATTCCTATAAAATATCGGCTTTAAATATCAAACACTAGTTTTAAATTTGTGGCACACATGATTTTTCCATTTTATTCAACTTAGGATTTTATCTTAAAATAACTATTTTTCAAAAAGCTAAATAATTCACTCTTTTTTATGGAAAATAAAATTTTTTAATAAAGATTGCTCTTAAAATTATATGCCTTGGGTCAAGCAAACATTCAAATAATTAAAAAAAATGTCAAAATTCATATTTTATACTGAGCCTTCAAAATATTTAAGCTGAATTTGTATTTAAGGACCATGCTGGTGTGATGTGTATTACTGCTTCATTAACACAAAAATTAACTATATGGATAGTTAAAATTTTTTTCAATTATAATTTCTATATAATAGTTACAACTAGACCCGTCTAATCATCAGTTATCAATGAAATATCAAATTGAATACAAAACAAGATGTAAATATGTACAATGAAAGTATTTCTTTGTCTTAAACTAACTCAGATCTTCTTGTGAAACTGGTAACGTTAAAGCCTCCTTCAATGTATCACTCTCTTGTAATGAGGGGTTACTGGGCGCTCCTTTACTTCTTAACATCAACTGTATGGTTTTTGTCTTCCAATTGTTTTCAGAAAATGGATCACGCATTAAACCAAAACTACATTCAAATATGCCAACACAATCCATCTGTGTGTGTAATGTACCACATGCCAGGACCAAAACCAGACCATGTATATCCATACGTCCTTGAACACCCGAGTGCGTTAGATTTGGATTAAAGAAAAAATGAAATAATTTGCGGGTTTCGTATAGGGTATCCAAAAGTGAATTGGCATTATCACAGCTATGCTCTTCGCATCCATCACTAGCAGTTATTTGTAGCATAAGTCTAGCGTCTGGCCAAAAATCTTGAGGTTTTAACAAATTTTGGTTGTAGTTGTTGAAAAACCATTCGGAAAATTTTCTTGCAAGCAGGTTTATGGGGAATTCCGATTCCTGGGATAGAGATGTACTCGAGTGTGTATTGTGTGAAACACATGCTAGCTCTGTTGACTGCAAGCACTCATTGGCCAAACCGTTTTGATAACGTTTTTCATCTTCAATCGGACATTCACTGTTCCAGTATTCGACAACCCGTTTTGCTAGATTCGTTTTTGTGAAATCTTTTTGAAAAGGTATTTGTTTGCTGTGTAAATACTTAAATAATATCTCCTTGGTAATGGCTTTTCTGTTCAGAAGTGTCAAACAATCATCCGTATGTGTAAATATGTATTCCAAAGCATCTGGAAACAGAGAAAAACACAGTAAAATATCATTCCAGTTTACCTAAGACTTATGTGCCTTACCCGCCGTGGAATCAACCTCAACGACGTTTTTTGTCACCGTCCTAGCCAACTGCAATAAAACAGGAACATTTTGCTCTTCGTTTTGTAGTAAATCAATAACACCGCTCTTTTCTCTATCCGAAAAAGGCATATTAAATTCACAGTTTTTCTGTTTGTTTTCTGTTTATCTCATATTTTGCAAATATTTCCCAAAAATAGCAAATGCTCTACGCAATAGAGCTGACAAGCCATCGATAAACCTTTTCACGAGCGACTATCGATGCAAAGGTTAAAATCGATAATTTCGATAAATTTGTTTCTCAGTTAATATCAAGTTTCCACTGCAAAATTTGACTAGTTGTGACCATAAGAAACAATACACGAAACACGAGTTCTTTTTTTTTGCAAAAATAAAGAGTCTACAAACGCATACCGCCACATCGTAAAAAACCTATGGAAACGGTAAAGAGCAATGGTATTTTTTTTTTTTTTTGATTAACTGAAGCGTTTAACGATTACCATAAATGTTGAGCTTTTTCTAAAGTTTTCCAGAGGTTAATTCATAAAAAATTTTGTGAAAATCTGTAAATTTTGTTAAGTAAGCAATTGCCCTGTTCCAAAATGCAAGAATGTAAAATTTTTTACGACGATAACCTTTAAGTTATCAGAAAAATTGCAAAAGAAATGTGAACTTTTCTACTAAGATAATTCTTTTCCCTTTATATAAAACAAAAATTGCAAAACTAATTGATTCTTGCAGGTGTTCTTGAACGAATCAAGCGTTTTATATTCCCCATAACAGATTTAACATATGCCAAAAGTTCATATTCCAAATCTAAAGCAAGAGTTTTGTAATTTCAGATGTAATAGTAGTGAATTTACAGTTTTCACAATATTTAAATTTAAGAGAAAATCACGAAAAATTAATATAATCGACCCTATTAGTCGAGGCGACAATAACGGTATTAGCGTTGTCGTTTTTTGTTGATAGCGATGAATGGTTGCTATTATCATTGTCGGCCCAACAGTAGACGTGAAATCGTTTTTAGAGAATATCTGTCGCCGTAAAAAATTGTGACGACATTGTATGTTTACGACGTTGATATTTTAACAATTTTGTATTTGACATTTGACCATGAAAGTAACAACAGCAAAACAATTTGGAAATATTGAAGTCATTTCCGACACTGGTCTGCTAAGAATACCAAAGGTGTGACTAATTGAAAAAAAAACTCTAGTTAAGTAAAAACTCTTCGATGTTTTCGATTTTTTTCAGAGGTAGGTATTTTTACCCCGATTTCGGGAAACTTGCTATGATTCCCCAGATTTTTGACTCGAAAATCCGGGTTAAACCCGGATCCGGCTACCCGATATAGGCAATATAGGTATCGTTTGAAAGCTTATGAAAATACCTATCCCAGAAGACGTAGAAAATTAGGTATTAACACAAATTATGGTCTCAGCTTTAATTTGACATACATTTTTTGATCCCACATTGTGCACTTTCTCGACTTTTTGGGGGTTTTATAAAACTAACTTTCGATCCGCTTTAAATAACCCCATCAAGTGTCCATTTATTGCATTGTATTTTCATAAGCGATACCCATATTGTATATATCGGGTAAGTGGATCCGGGTCTTGAACCCGGACTTTCGGGTCAAAAACTTGGGTTCTGGGTTCGTCACCAAAAAAAAAAAAGATTCCAGAATCAGGGTAAAAAACCCACCACTGGAAAAAATCTCAAAAAAAAAAAAAAAAAAATAAGAGTTTAAACTAAACTAGAGTAGAGAAATTGAAACTTGTTATTCGGCCATGAAAGTAAGTTATTCGAGACTAAATGGTTCTTTGTTTAACTAAGAATGTAAAAAACCGTTCAAGAACAAGGGCTCTCTCGTCTAATCCAGCTTCCCAACTCGCCGACTATATGATGCCCTACACCACTAGGAATATTTAATAAAGCTCCCGAAACAAAATAATTTATTTGAAGTAGATCATACCACCTATCAACATTTGGCTTTAGATCAGTTATTGTTTGGTTTTAGAGGGAACTAATACATGGGAGGCATGTCGAATTCTGAATCGATTTTCACTAAATTTGCGAGGGACTTTAACACCAAATCGAATGAATTTGATGTACTTCCTTCTAGATTGAATTTGGTCGGATGTGCCAAAATTCAGGTCATTTGTACTGATATTAGCCATTTGGTGCATAATTAACCCGAAATCAATTGAAGATATACATGGGAGCTATATGAAAATCTGAAGCCATCTTGATAAAATTCGATACATTTATTTCAGAGCTGTATCTGATATCTGGTACCAAAGATCATTGTTGTGGAATGTATATTACGCGTGTGGGAGCTATAGCTGATCCGATTTATAGCAAATTTGAAATACTAGTTTCTAGGATGATTTCAGTCGTAATACCGAAAATTGAGTCCATTTGGGCTGATGTTAGCGATTTGGTGTACAATAATATCGGATAAGGATATACATGGGAACTATATCATAATCTGATCGAGCAGAGTGTGATATCCGGTACCAAATATCATTCATAAACAACTAAAAAACAAGTAAGCAAAAGCTATAGTCGTGGGGGGCCGACTATGTTGTACCCTACAACACTATAATATGTTAGAAGCCCCCTTATGTCCAAATCCATATTGGAAGATTTCGCTTTTGAAATTAGGATCTTGACTAGGGACATTTGCCCAACATTTATGCACTCCGTCGGGCTGTTAGTTGTTGTAGTCCATTTTACAGCTAAAAATAATCCAATGGTCATCCAAAATGCTAGAATTCTTCCCTGTCCTTAATTCTCTTCGATTGGCTTCAATTGTGTGATCGGAAAAACATTTCTGTTTTTGGTTGATCCCCTAAATATTTTGCAATCATCTCCAAAAGCAAGAAGCCCCTCTGTATCTCCAAATTTAGACTCATTTATATGATTTGCTTGTCTACGATCAACGAAATCAGCATAAAAAAGCCAGAAGTTCGCCTTTTGTGTATTTCGGATATCGCCTGTAAGTAATGCTGGTATTATTCCACACAAAATTAGTGGTCCATTCTACCCGCTGTCCTAAAATCTAACTTTATGCGAGATTTCGTGTCCTTTGGTTTCTATTTGTGACCTTTATAACGGCTGCAAAATCAGGAATATTTTAGTTGTTTGTCCATTTCAACCCCCTAATATATTGCGGACATCTTTGAAAACAATAGGCCTAGCCCTTCTGAGCCCAAACCTAACCCAATTCTGAATTGACAAAATTTCAATCGGTCCAGCCATTCTTGAGATATAAGCATTCTAACAACATCCCCTTCCTTTGTATATACACATTATATATTTCGCTATATATAACCGATATATTTACTATCGGCATCTACGTAACGGTCAAAATTGACCTATTCGTCTATTTGTGATTTCGCAGGGATTAAAAATATTCGCGGTTATATGGAAAATTTGACTTTTATTTAACACAAATGTTGTGGCCTATTTCACCCACTAAATATTACCCGATGACCATCAAAATTGAATTGCCCAGCCCTGAGCTCTAGCCCCATGCTTACTTTCGCTTTGATTGGTCTATAATTGCGACCTGTAGAGCAACTGCAAAATCAGGAATTTTTTCAGTTTTTGGTCCATTTCAACCCCTAAATATTACGCGATAATCTCCAAAAGAAATAGGGTTCTATTCTGACCTTAACCCCACCTTTATTTTAAATTCCGATCGGGCCATAATTGCGACCTGTAGAGTGATTACAAATTAACACGGACATACATAGCTAGATCGACTCAGCTCGGTGAGATAGGAAGATCCATATATACTTTCCTATGTGGGAAACCAATATTTCGAGGTGTTACATAATTTTTGGCCCAATCAAACTTATAATACCCCCAACACATAGTGTTGTAGGGTATAACAAATCGGATGAAACATATACATGGGAGCCATATCTGAACCGATTTTCTCCAAATTTGCAACTTGCTTCTAGACTGGATTCGGTGGGATGTACCAAAATTCAGGTCATTAGGACTTATATTGGTTATTTGGTGCACAACTAACCCGAAATCGGTTGAAGATATATGGGAGCTATATCTAAATCTGATCCGATTATCACCAATTGCAATAGGGTTTGTCCTTGGGCCAAACAAATATTCTTTGCAAAATTTCGGATAATAAATGCGACCTGCATTTTGTTCACCAGAATGCATGGAGGGACGGACTGACAAGCATAAATCAACTCAGACTGTGATTCTATGAATATCCTCAAAAGTAACTATGGGTCTATCTCGGTTCCTTCTCCCTGTTACAAACAAATGCACAAAGACATAATATCCTTACCACTATGTGGTGCAAAGTATACAAATCACTTCAAGGAAATTGATTTAAGGAGAAAAAGAAAAACAATTTCCATTATATCCTTCACAGGATGTTATAAATTGTTCATCAATATGCTTTGAATACCAATTTCCTGAAGAGTTTTTCGCTTCTGCAGTACATATGACATCGACAAGAGTCTTCCCCTCCATGGGGAGTGTTTCATTTAATTTACTGAATTCCATACTTTGTCATCGTCATCTGCGTCCTCAACATTGTCGTTTCGTCGTCTTGTATTAGTGATGTGAAGCTGTTTATAGCGTCTGCTTCGATTTAAGTGATTTGTGTCACTTGCTTCATTATTTAGTCACACTGCGAATCATATTTCTTGCATCGTTGGCAAGACAGTGGGCATGGTTGGTGATGGGAGGGGAAACGTCATGGCATATTTGTTTTTCACAACAATTGTTGGAGACGTTTTAAGGATGCTTTTTATATTGTTCTTTTCTTGTACTCCACCGTCGTCGTTGACTGTGTCATTTATTATCCTGTAAAGTGTCAACAAAAGCACAATTCTTATAAATGAGCTGTCTTGTGATTTCCAACTTCGTATAATGTTAGGTGATGCTGGGTGTTAGGGATTCAGTTGTAGTTTCTAATATTGAGAATGCATACATGATACTATAATTACAAATAATTACCCAAAAGTCCAGTAAGTGAGAGCGAAATGAGAGATACATTTTGACATTTGATTTACTGACAGTTTGCAAATTCTAACTGGGAAAATTTCTCCAGTAAGAATTATACAGAAACATCAGTTGTTCAGAAATTAATCGTTTTATAAACAAATAAATTAATTAATTAAAGAAAAAAGCTATTAAATCTATTAACAAACAAGGGTAATGTGGCGTTTCCACTGTACTTGATTCGCTCTCTATTCGTTGTTTGACCCT